ATGATACGCTGGGACCAGGGGCACTGAGGGCTTCATGCAAAAATGTCCTTGCTGACCCTTGCTGGTGTGCTGCTCTTCTGCTCGCCTGTCAGGAGCATAGTTTTCATTAAATATTAAGGAGCTGTTTGTTAAAACAATGTTGTCATGGTAACTGGGGGGGGGGAGGAATGCTGAAATAGCCTGGTGCTGCCTGAATTGCAGCATATTAATCAAGTGTTGGGTGCTATTTAATGAGCTTCCCTGTAGCATTAAATTGGGAGGACCCAGGGACTGGGGATTTGTCCTGTGTCACTGTCAAGATGAGGGCTCTCACGAGTTCCTGGTGTTGTACTGGGCAAACGGACAGATGGACGGCTGAATGCTAAAACCAAAATTTTAGATGTTCACGTCTCAGAGCTGTTTCTGACAGCTCTTCTATTTTTCTTTTTTTATTTTCCTTTTTACAGTGGAAAAACATTTTTGCCAGAGAACTGGGGAAAAAGAGGTCAGGGAAGTAACTGGGGGAAGATATGGCCAAAGATTTCTTTGCCTAAAAGCAGAGGTAATGGCCACAACAGGGAGGCGCAGTAGCTGAGTGTGGAGTGGGACAGCCGGGCTTCACACCTCAGCTCCACCTCTGCTCACTGTGCTGTCATGAGCCAGTGACCTTGACCTTCTGCCCCAGCAGCTTGTGTTTCTCTCCACGTCCAAGGCTTGAGAGTTGCACGTCCTGCATGGGGCTGCTTGAGGGGGTTAAGGAGATGGAGCTCTTACCGCAGTGCTTGACAGAGTCAACGCTCAGTGAATTCTGCCCAGCACCTCTATTCCTTTTGTCACGGCTGCTGCCACCACAACTGCTACAAAAGCTACCACCAAGGGGGACCGCACAGTGCTCTCAAGGTCTAATGGTCCAGTTGGGCCCTGACCAGCCACTGCAAGTTTCAAACCCAGGTCTGGTGACTCAGCTGCTGGTGTTCCTTCTGAAGTTGTCCAGCTTTTACTGTAAAGGCCCAGACAGTAAATACTTTAGGCTTGGCAAGTCATATGCAGTCTCTGTCACATATTGTTCTTTGTTTTTTTTTTCTGAACAACTCTTTAAAAATATAAAACCATTCTTAGTTCACAGGCTGCTCAGAGATAGGCCTAGTTGGCAGGTTCCTGCCATCTGTCTTGAGGAAACAGAAGACGAAAGGAAAGCAAAGTAAAAGGCGATGTGACATGTATATATGGGTTTTTGTCTCACTAAGAGTAGGTTGAAACTACATATTAAAAAGAAAAACTTGGGTCTGGGAATTTGTTTTACTAAAGCAATTCTGAGAAAAAAGAACAAAACTGGAGGTATCACACTTGCTGACTTCAAACTATAGTACAAAGCCACAGTAATCAAAACAGCATGGTACTGGCAGAAAAACAGACACACAGGCCAATGGGACAGAAGAGAGGTCAAATATATGGACAACTATTTTACAATGAAGGAGCCGTAAATAATCAATGGAGAAAAAAGTCTCTTCAACAAATGGTGTTGGCAACATTGGACTGCCATATGCAAAAGAACAAAATTGGGCCACTATTTTATACCGTACACCAAAATTACTCAGAATAGATTAAAGGCTTGAATGTAAGACCTGAGATAATAAAAAGAAACATAAAAGAGCCCTGGATGGTGTGGCTCAGTTGGTGGGAGTGTCATCCAGTAACTGCAAAGTTGCAGATTTGATTCCCAGTCAGGGCACATACCTAGGTGGCAGGTTTGATCCTTGATCCCCAATCCCTGGTCCAGGTGTGTATGTGCCCCATATGGTCCCTGGTCTGGGTGCGCATGGGAGGCAGCAGATTAATGCTTTTCTTTTGCATCGATGTCTCTCTCTCTCTCCCTTCCTCTCTCTCTAAAAACCGTAGGAAATGAATAGGAATCTAGTACAGTTGACCCTTGAACAACATTGGTTTGAACTGTGTGGATTCACTTATATGTGGGTTTTTTCCAATAAATACAGTAAATATATTTTCTCTTCCTTATGATTTTCTTAATAACGTTCCTTTTCTCTAGCTTACTTTATTGTATGAATACAGTATAAATACTTATACAAAATATGTGTTAACCAACTATGTTATCGATAAGGCTTCTGGTCAACTGAGGCTATTAAGTTAAATTTGGGGAGAGTCAAAAATTTTACATAGATGTTCCACTGTGCAAGGGGTCAGTGCCCCCAACCCCCATGTCATTCAAGGGTCAACTGTATACTGTTTATGATACAAGTGGCGTCGTCCGCACTGGGACAAAGATACCGCTGCACAGGCTGGAGGATGAGGGCCATTTGCATGTTCACCTCAACGCTGCTAAACCACAACCCTTGGCCTAGGGATGGACATGTGACCAGAACCTCCCAATTCCAGGGCATCTGCGAGGATGGCAAAGCCCCCTTCCTGTGGGGGTTGCTGGGAGAAGGAACCTGCCTGAGCGAAGCCACACGGGGGCAAGTTGCATTCAGAGGGACAGGCAAATGACGTCTGCTGCCACGGTTTAGGTCCAGCCGGGTGCAAAGCCAGACCAGCTCAGACTTTTCAGTTACACAAACTGCTTTTTTGTTTTACAGTTATGAAAACATGAATTAGATATCTATCTTGTAACTCAAAGTCTGACAAATGCAATCAAATACCCGCTCAAGTATTGTTCCCGACTGGGCTCAGGTGTTACCCTGTCCTCGGCCAGACCGTGAGCCCTGAGATAACACGGCATGGGGTCTAGGGCGAGGCACTTAGGGCTAAGTTTCAGATGGGCGGAAGGGGAGGGAGGATGTCATTACTCACTTCTCTCATTATCTCTCCTGTTTAGCTCAGATTTGCTGAACCCGCTCCCAGTCCTGGACAAAGGCGCAAAGAGCCCCTCACGTGCTACCGAACCGAGTGTGTCTTGAATGCGGTCCCTCCTGAATCTGGGGAAGAACCAAACGCCTCCAACGGGGTCTGCATGTCTAGTCCGTCACGGTGCAGTGAATGTCATACTAGTAGCACCTGGGATGGTTGTGCCTTCGTTTCCTGACTGAACTGTTTCTTCTGGTCCTACGCCTTACATGTTGATGGTGACCCGGGGTTCTGTCCCATGGCTCTAAGCTGTCCCGGAGAGAACACTGTCACCCCACAGCCCACCTCTCTCCTCAATCAGCTGTCTGCCCATCTTCATTCTTTCCTAAGAGGCCTGAGTGATGTGGCCCACGCCCTTTGGCAAAGGTGACACCTGCCCACGTTGATTTTCCACAGGACAAGAATAAAGGCTAATATCTACTGGGTACTTCCTGCCACTAAAAACTGGCACAGGGCCAAGCAGTTTGACATGAATTAATTCACCAAACCCTCACAGCCACCTGATGTATTCTCGTGATCCCCATTTTACAGACAGGAGACAAAAGCACAGAGTGGTTGGCAACTTGCCTCAGGCCCCTCCGCTAGTGGGAGAGACGGGATTTGAACCTGGGCAGTCTAACTTCAGGGACCCTGCACAGAGGCCACCTCTCTGAGCTGTCTCCTCATTGCTTTCCCTTTCGGTTATCGGGCAGTTGCTTACTGAGCACCTACTATGTGCCAGGTCCTGTCACCCAAGGACACAGCCCTTGTCTTCAAAGCCAGACTCCTGCTTGAAGATTTGCCGAGGAAGCACCAAGGCACGACTCAAACATACTGCTCAGCCCTCCCCTCCCGCTCCTGCCTCCCCCCGCCCATGCCCAGCGCTCTGGACTCTGCAGAAAGTCCAGTCCTTGTCAACGGCTGTCCAATTCCATTCCCATCCAGGCTGTTAGTGCCTTAAAGAAAAACACCACCTCTGGCCCTGACGGCACCTGGCTGCAGGGGCCCTTGGTAAATATTTACTGCCACCACTGACCCAGGCCCCGGGGAAGAAGACACAGTCACAAAGCACAAAGGAAGCTGGGTGGGTGCTCATTATTCAGACCTTCCAATTCAACACGGATCTCCCTCCTGTGCAATTTCCCCAGCTGGTCTGGGGCGCAGTCCTCAGACTTCACGGCCTCAGGTTTGGTGACTGGTCCTACCAAAGAGCCCCAGCTCCCCTGGGGAGGCGACGCTCACTGTCCTCCCACGGCGTCCCCAATGCCTTTTCTGCTGCCTGCGCGGTCTGGATCCTGGGCCAAATCTCTCAATGGTGTGACAAACTGGTAAATCCCTTGGGGGTGCTGGTAGGAAAGAGCTTCCCAGAGGCTCTGATCAAAACCCCCATCATGCTTGGAGAGCTGCCGCCCCCTCACAATCACAGGTGTTTGGAATCACACCTGTGATAAGTGCCATTGTCAGGTGTTAGCTCAGCGACACCTGGCCAATGCAGGGCAGGTCTTAGGGGGAGCCTGGGAGTCCTTTCATCCAGCAGCATTGGAACAGTATAAGCAGAGCCCTGCCACGCGGACCAGGCGGTGCTGAGTGCAGTATGTGTGAGCTCACAAGCGCGTCTCGTTCACGAAGCTCCCTAAGCCCTCTTCCTCACCCTACTGCCCCTTGGGGTTTCTAGATTATCATGGAACAGAGTCTGCAGAAACGCTGCTCTACTCAAAGCCACTCCCCGTTTCAACATCTCCCATCGATGCTTCTCCAACCCGCGCTTGAATTCTGCCAGCGACAGGGAACTCACTACTTCTACTGGACGGCTATTTCACCTTCGCATACCTCGTTTGTTGGGGTTTTTCTTCAGGTTACGTCAACAGTTACCCACCTGCCTCCTGTGGGCGACAGCCCTTTACGCACACAACGCCGGCATTCTCACCTCTCTGTATCCCTGTCTCCTCGGGGCTGTGGCTTACAAACTGGTGGGAGCCAGGCAGTTCCCTCTCTGTTCTAAGCCTGCCTTCCCCGCCTGGTTAGACACCCCCTGGAAGCCATTCCTGGCGCTTGCCCTCTCGGTGGTGAGTCTGAGCGGCTGTGGTCTCCGTGCAGACAGGACAGCTCAGCTGCCCGCAGGCTCCGTTTGTCTCTGGGGAGGGACTGGCAGGGACCCAGTAATTGCAAGGGACGCGCACCTGGATTCTCTGCACTGTGCCGTTTCCAGGTGCATCTGGACAGAAACAGTTTCAGAGCGGCCCCTGCTCCTCCCATTCATCTTTCCCTTCTTGACATCCAACCGAGGCCCGACCTGCGCCTTGACACATCGTCACTCACCAGTCCCGTATCGCTTACATCCTGGGAATCTTTTTACACTTTGACTCCGCGGCCAGTCAGTGCGTCAAGACCTACAAAAAAGAGAAACTCAATATGAAAAGCAGGGCAGAGCCACTGGGTGTCCACTCTCTTTTCTGGCAGGACAGCGGCGTTGGGGGGCTGGGCTGGAGACGGGGACAATAAAGGAAAAGGAAATGGTAAGGATGGAGCTGCCCATTAAACCGAGCTCAAAAATCTCTGGGTTTAGTGGCTGTTCTGAGAGGAAAAAAACAGACCCTCACCCTGGGTGAGTCAGCAGCTTGTTGAGAAGCAGGCCTTTTCGAAGAGCAAAACTCCCAGCAAGACCAGCGGGGCTGGTGTGGGGAGGCGGCTGTTGAACCTCACTGGGAGTCTCCTCCAGCCTTTGCTGTCTCTTCCTAACAGCAGAGGGCCCTTTGGGGTTGCATTTTGATGAGGGTGAGGGGGAAGCCCTGCGCACAGTCCTCAAGTCCAAAAGACACTGCGGGCCTTAACACAGAAGCCCCGAGTGTGTGTTTATGTCCTGGGAGGCTCCTGCCAAGCGGACCCTGTGTGCCGTGAAAATTCCCCAGGAGAGCAGTAGCCGGAGGAACAAGGCATGCGCCCGGCTCGGAGGACGTGTTCCCTTTGTGGCAAGTTGTGGCCTGAGCACTGGAGGTTTCTGTGGCTGCAGTGGCAGAGGCCCACCTGCAGTGCAGGTGTGCTCCCGGAGCAGGTGCTGGCGAGGGGCGGGCAGCCCAGCCCAGCCCCTCCGTCCCCACACCCAGCCCTCTTTCAGAGCAAAACGTGTTTTTTCTTGTTTCCCTAAGAATTTGGAGGACAGCAGAGCTTTCTCGATTCATCTCTCCCTTGAGGGGTGGGAAGGTCACCTTAATGGCAACAGTTTCTGTTGACTGAGTACCTTTCCCTGCGCCAGGCGCTCTCCCTCTGATCTATATGCTTGCTGTGCATCGGTGAATTCACATCACCCAGGAGCTTGTTGGAAAGGCAGGTCCTCAGGCCCCACCTAGGTCTGCGGAATGGGAACCTGCTTTTTACAAGCTCCTCAGGTGATTCCTGGGCACGTTAAAGTCTGCGAAGCACTCATTTATACGCCTCTTAATCTCGGGCGGAGGGAAGCCAGTCAGTCGGTGGTCATTGCCCACCCTCCGGGGGAGGACGTGGGCCAAGAGAAGCCAGAACCTGGCCGCTGTGGTTTTAGAGCTGGTACGAGGTAGAGCCGATTCAAACCCACGTTCACGGGATGCCCAAGCGGGCGCCCCTCTGATGGCTCTGTTTGGGGAAAGTAAAACGAGAGGGTGAAGGGGCAGGCAGGCCTGACTGGGGGGTGGATGTGGGAAGGGCGCCCAGTCGGAGGTGGGTGGGGGGTGCGGTGATCTCAGGCCCTGGACAGGCCGGAATTGAGTGTGCTGGAGGCCGCGCAGAAAGGGAGGCATCGGATACTGGAGGCGGGTTCCCCTCCTCTTTTGTCAAAGGCCAGCCAAACTTCCCAGACAGAAGTTCTGGGCCCCTTCCTGCAGGGACATTCAAGCTTCTGCATTTAATCCCAGTGATTCACTGACCTTGGCTCCAGGGAGTTCAGCTCTCTCGCCCACTGCCCTTAGAACTCACCGTCCAGCGGGAGAAGGGCCCCCAGGAGACTAGCGAACCTGAATATTCCAGGCACTGACTTGAAAATACCCTGCAAAACCCTTTATAGGCTAGAAAGAACTTTTCATCCACTAGCTCATCTGCTCCTTCAAAGAACTTGGGAGGTGTCACTAGCACTATTTTGCCATTGAGAAAATGGAGGCACAGAGAGGTTAAGTGGTTTTCCTGCAGTCACACAGCTTTGGGGCAAACTGGGGTTGAGGTCCTCTGGCTCCACGTCCAGAGGTGTGAGCTCCACTGTGCCCGAGGGGGAAAGAGATCACATCACAGGCACACCATGCTCTTGCTCTGTGTCATCCAGCTCCATGGTCTTGCTCTACATTCTAACCGGATGAGTTTACTGAACTGACTCACGGACCAAGAGGAAAACGGTCCACAGCCCATGTGGGGAGTGTGACCGGTACCTTTCTCGATGTAAACTGGCCGGTTGGCATTCCTGGTTTATCTGTGAGACACGGATTTTATCATATGTTGTTCGTTCTCCTACACTGGCTTCCATAAAGCAGATGAGTGCATACAAGGTGTATAGGGGAAAGAGACCAGTAACATGTGGGCGTTGCACTGGATCATCGGCAGACGTTCCCAAAACAGCCATGTTTTGCATCACCAAGTCACAACAGCTGGGTGCAAAATACCCCAACGCAGCAAGCGACAGAAGACTCCTCACGTTCCAGACACCCACCTGCTCCACGCCCCTCCCCTTGGCCGGTGGGGTCCCGTGCGCTGCCTCAGAAGCTCTTGTTGCTCAGTTCTCCCCGATCTTTGAGCAAAGGCCGTGGGCTGTCCCCAGCACCCCTTACAACACACGGCAAAGCCTGCAGCTGCTCTCCCTCTAGAAGAAATGCCTCTCCCTTGGGCGCAGCAGCCTCTTCCTGCCCTCGTCCCGCCCCCAAGAGCCCCCGGGGGTTTTGAAAATAGAGCCCTCTAGTTACTCAGTTCCTAGATAACTGTTTAAGTCAGATTGTAGCATGCCCTTTGAACTGTGCCAATGTCTTCTCTAGGACTGTGCTTCATCAGAGCACTGTCTGAATCGTGAGGCTCTGCTGCACCCGAATTATCCCTGAAGGTGCTATGATTTTTGAGTTTTTCCGAATGCAAGGTTCTATAGGAATGCATATGTCATTTTATAGCAGAAATGCTTACATAATGGAAATATTATTATAGGTACTAATAACTATATAGAACAAATGCATAACGTTATTAAATATTGAACATGTTAATGTTATTAAATATTAAATACTACATTAAATATTTGATTAACAATCATTTATTGAGTCTAGTATGTACCTGATTCTGTGCAAAGCACCAGATGGGCATAAATAAATAAGACCCAGTCCCTACCCTTAGAAACTCACGGTACAAGAAAGGAGGAAGACAAACAATAGACTGAGTGTGAGACAGGACAATGTATACAAGGGGCTACAATGTATACAAGGGAATACAAAGTGGAAGCAGTTAACAGATGCCCCGTTTGTCTCAGGATGAAGACCACGCTCCCTACCCCAGGGCCTCTGAGACCCTGTGAGTCATGGCCCCTTCTCAGCTCTCCCTGCCTCGCCTCGCCACGCTCTCGGTTCACCATCTGCTAAGTTTCTCGAACCCACTGTGCACTGTGCAGCCACGTGGCTGTCCTGTCCTCGTCCTTCTCTTCAATGCTCTGTCCTGCCCCTTCCCCGAATTAACCCCAGCTTTCCCTATAGGACTGAGGCAGGTGACACGTATAAACTGCTTAGAATCGTCTAAGCAGGTATGCTAATTACTATTATTGATAATACTTATTATCTTCAACTGACGACGTGCTTCTCCTTGGGCAGTGAGAAGCGGAGTGACTTGGCGGGGGCTGCACAGCGAATTGTTCCCAGAGCTTGGTTGTCTCATGGAATCGGGTGTTTCCCCATTTACCCCGGAACCCAGCACTGTGCCACCAGCCACTAGACCCTTCGTTGTAACCAGCGTGGGGGGAAGAGTGCTGGTCGTGGAGACGGGACGTGTGGGTGTGGTCCTGGTCCTCCCGCACGCTTCTGTGCCCCACGGCGATCGCTTCGTGCCTCAGGACCTTGGCTTCCTCATCAGCCACGGGAGCTCCACACACAGCCTGCCTCCTTGGGCGGCACCAGGGGCCGTGGTGTGCAACACAGTTCTGCACGTGGGCCATGGAGGCTCTCATGACGAGTGTGACAGAGGAGTTACGGGACATTTCAATGTCCTTTCGGCGCTAAATGTACACACAGCTCCAGTCTTCCTGGCTCAGGAACCCCCTTCACCAGAACGTGCCGGTCGCAGGAAGCAAAATCCCGGGAAGAAAAAAACCCTGGAGGATTTTCCCTACAGGTCCCCCCGTATTCCCCTTTAGCCACATTAAACCTATCAAATTTCTGGACACCTGAAGGGGAAAACAAGGGAAGCTACTTGAACAGCCTGTAGAAGAAGAAAAACACCCTCCCCGAGCGTCATTCCTTCTCAGGCAGTTTGTTCCTTTCCATTTTTCACTTGGCAAACACTTAGCAGGTGACTGAGAAATTCCAGGTCTCGTAAACATGTCACTCTGTCCTGCAGTGACGGCCTCACATTGATATGAGAGACAGAGAGAGAGCGAGAGCGAGAGAAACTCTCTCAATCAAGGAGTATGAGGGTAGGAACAACAGGCTGTGTCTCCAGACTGGACTCAGGGGAGGAAGGTCAAGTTAAAAGAAGCTGAAAAGCTATAAAGCCACTTCTGGGGAGCCATCATTCTGTAGGCTGGAACTGTAGCCTTAAGTTGCCTTTCTTTGCTCCAGAAAATGTTTCATGTTAGTCACTAAGAACAGCCTTTCACTTCAAAAAAAAAAAAAATCATACAGGTGAATTTTACCAACTATTCATTCAAAGAATTAACACCTATTTTTCTCAAATTATTCCCAGAAATCAAAGAGGAGGGAAGGCTCTCACACTTATTTTATAAGGCCGGCATTACCATGATTCCAGGAACTAAAATTCTCAACAAAATGTTAGCAAGCCAAATTTAGCAAAACCATTTTAAAAAATCATACAAAACGATCAGGTGAGATTTATTTCTGGGATGCAAGGTTGGTTCAACACTCACAAATCATTGCTGCGATGCACCACACCCAAAAAGTCATTAGCGAATGACGAACACAGCGGCCGCCCTGTCCTGGGTGCGCACTGCGCCCCAGGCGCTGAACTGGCCCTCCTGTCTTCTCTCTCCTCCCACTGCAACTCCGACCGAGAGGCAGGCATTCACATACGCGTTTCACAGATGGCGAACCTGCAACCTGGAGCGATCGAGTCAATTGCCCAGTGTCATGGGAGTAGAAAGTCCAGCACTGGGTTAGAACTCTGGTCTTACTGAGCATAGTCTTTCCATTCTTTCCTGACACTGCCTCTTTTTAAAAAAAAATAATTG